GCTTTGGTCATCAACACCTTGTCAATAAATCCTGTTGTGTCCAGTTATAACAGTTGCCTATTGTCCAACTGTTTCGCTCCAAGCTGTTGGTTGTGGCAGTCTTACATTGCAACACCAAAACCTGCGGCTTATATTCAAGTCTATTTAGTCCTTTATCTCCATCGCATTAGTCATTAAAATCTAGTTAATCATTAAGACGTAAGCTTTATTGGCTATACTTTATATCCGGCAGCTAATCATGCACATGCTATAATCATACACTCGTATTTAAATATGTCTGCTTTTATTTCAATCTTGAGGCAAAATTGATAGAGATTGCATTAAGTGTCCCCTGCATTTTGCCTGCATCCAGCACAGACATTTGCACAGAGGGGCTGCACAGTAGGGGCTGCAGTAATAGGCCCCCTGCCATCTGGAGACCCAGTCCAGGGGGCCATAAACAATGGAGACTTCCCAATAAGGCACTGCACGTAACCAGTGTGAGTATATGAAAAACGTCATATGAAAAGCCTGGGCACCTAAACCAGTGTTGTCCCACCCCATGCCTCTGCCCCCAGGCTGTCAGGTACGGCTACTCTTAATGTGATGATAGGCACTCCGCCCAATTTGAATAATGTAGAAACTCATTTATGCTATAGCACTATTGAGCTGAGGGTGTGTGTTTGAACATATGTTTTCCCCAGTGGATGTAAATGTATATTCATACTAAAGCTGTAAATTAATTTGTGCAAAAGCCATGTGTTTTTGTAGCTATAAATATTAAAAAATTGAAGAGAATTGGTGATTAATCCTTATTTATTTCATCCACATATCTACTGAAGAGTTGTGGGCCTTGCAGAAACAGCCTAATATAAACAAAAAGGTGATGAGATGGACATAAGCAATAAATCTCAATCATGATAAATTGAGATATTCAATAGGATCACAACCTACAGTGAATTCAACAAGCTAGGCAAGACAAGTTTATTTTCCACAGTTCATTTAAATAATAAATACTTACAGTTTTTCACATTTTTTATTATTATTTTGCTACTACTGGACAGTCGAATTTCTCCTATGGGGGATCAATAAAGTATATCTATCTATCGACATTAAAATAGTGAAGACAAAATCCTTCATTGGCTGCACAGAGAAACAGACCCGTTTTGAACCTGGATTTGAACATTGTTAGAAAAGACATGTCTCACATTTTTGCTGCATACTGTAGTTCTGAAATACTGCCTCTCCATGTTTAGCCAAGCATGTAGCGGTAGAGTGCGAGTTCCAGAGATTCTGGGTTTTATGTTAAGTAAGTAAGTAAAGTTTATTTGTATATTTGGCCTTTCAAACTTCTGAACATGTCTACTCCAAAACCCAGGCCCATCTTGACCCCCAGGCCTGTCTGCTTCATGGGTTTCCTCTGGACACTTTGGTTCTTCCAATAGACTTAAAACAAACACTAAAATCCTGAAGCAAGCCAATTGTGGTTTATTAATGGTATAAACTGTATGAATGCAACTAACGATTTAATTATTTGATGCGCTTTTTTCAAAAAGAAATTGAAAGATTATGACAAAAAATGCCCACCCCCCTCTTTTTTCTCTGTCCCCTCTGAGCCTTTTATGAAAATCAGATGTGGAGAAAGCCTAATTAGGTGTGATTCGCCATAAAGAAAAGGAAAGAAGGAAATGTGAATAAATTGCAAGGAGCAGGAGGAGGAGACAGACTGGTGATTAATGTGTGGAACCTGTGAAGCACATCACAGCTAGCAGAAAGGTTTTTTAACGCCAAAAATGTCAGGAATTGTCCTAAAATGATGTATTGTTATAAAATGTTGACACTGTCTTTAAGCTGATATTTCTAACAAAACGCTAGTTGACTTGAACTTTAAATTGAACAACTTAGGATAAGATAAGATAGACTTTTTGATCTCACACTGGAGAAATGTACATGTCACATTTGGCATAGATAGAAACACTCAGATTGTGCAAAAGACAGAAGTGTGCAAACTTGTTAAAAATTAAAAATATAGTCTGCAAGATATAATTATGTACAATAACACAATTTTACTTTAACATTAACAACATTAAACCAGATCTTCCATTCTTTGGCACTACAAGTCTTGTCAATATTAGTCTATTGTGGGATCATATGTTGTTTTAGACATTTTATACTTACTTCTTTATCATGCTAAAGTCCAAGATTTTTTCCTTAATTCTTGCTTCTTCATTAGGCAAAAGTTGGAGATCTTCAATGTTATTTGTATTATTTTAGTATAGAGATATTGTTCACTCATCTTGTGTTGTGTGCCCCTCATACTGTTCTGTAACCAGCGATGCAACACTGACATTTCCCCACTGTGGGACCGGTAAAGAATCTTGATCTATTCCTTGCTTATTTATAGTGCATCCACTCAAACCATCGGCATACCATAGCATTAGCGTTATTTTCGTCTTTTTCTGCGGCAAAACCAAATTGACTCCGTGCTCATTTGTCAGGGTCACGCTACGATTACCCGCGCCGCCTTTTGTTTTGTGCGGTGACTGTCAGCCCTGTGCATTCGTTAGGAGCTCCAGGGAGTGATCAGCGCCTCCTTTTCTAGGTCACTGGTTATTGCGACTACTCGGAGCCACTGGGATCCACCTCTCTCCTCTCCTCCACGCATTAGACAAGCTACGCACATCTCCAATTAAAATCACTGCGATATACAGAGCACTCCTCTCGCATCCTGACGTCTTGCCTTTTATGACAGTCCCAAAAGATGCCAGCGAGAGACAAGGAAAGATTGTTTCCTGATTGCCGGCAAGAGGGAAAGGGGAGAGGAAGGTTGTTTGAAATATTTAGGAGCAATCCGAGTCTTGTGGTTTTGTTTTGTTTTATATTTGATGTGGGTAAACTTCGACGGTACACAGGTCTTCCATTTGAATCGCAGAGATGTCACAGTCGATGAGAAATCACCCTGACTTGGAGCATGACTTTTTAAGGGCGTAAACGACTCAGGAAAGACGGGAACATGGGGACTGTTCATAAGGGACATTGGTAATTGATGCAGCAGTATGCGGTAGCTCCATGTGGAACAACACAGCTTTGGAATATGATGTCAGCTGAAGACTTTGTTAACTTCTTGTTGGTCGTTAAGTTTGCTTATTTTGACTGTTAAATATTTTTTAATGTCATTGTGATCCTAATATATCTCGCAGTGCTCACATCTGGGGCTCGATTATGTTGATTTATAAGAAAAGGCCATTGCACTTTATATTGTTGCATTGTCATTATACACGAATAGTTAATTTACATAAACAGATACCATTTTGCTCATTACCAAATAGTTTTTGTGAAAAAGCCAGATCTATATTAGTCCTATACAAGTATAATGTCATACCTTCTTGAGAAAATTCTTCCAAATTGCCTGCCAAACATGTTGAATATTGTTTCTAATTCTAATAGAATGTTTTGACACATTTTCAAAACAGAGATCTGTTTTTGCAAATACATATACAGTTTATAGATCCTCTACAGCAGTCGATCTAAGCTATATTATCAAATGCTTTCGGACCTAATTTTGATTTGATCACATCTACAGTATAGGACACGCCTAAATGACCTCTGCACTGTCCTTAAAATACGTATTTTTTTGGATTGCGAGTGTGCAGGAGGAATTGATTCTGAGAGAAATGGACTGGAAAGTGCCAAAATGGACTAATGGCACGTTCCAGTCCATTTGTGTCTTTTATAGATTTCTGCTGTTTCGTTGAAATAGTGTCCAAGAAAACGTATTACTTAAACTACGTACGCCTGCAGGTTTTTTCCCCTTATGTTATTTTGCTTGCTGGAAAGATGCTTGTTTTTATTATAAAAAACAGTTTGTACACTGATTTCTTTTCCCTCTTTATACAGGTCGAGCAGCACTATTGACATCATGAGGGAGTCACAGTCTGACACTTCACTTCAATATTTAGTATAAATTCACAAAAATATGTTCTTGTGATGTAGATTGTATATAGTACATTTTCTCTTGACCCTGGAGAGGTTTTATACCAAACATCTCTCTGGATATGTCATCACTCATAACCAGGAAGTAAAATCATTTGATAAGAATATAGACAAACATAAGGAAATTGGAAAATCGCAAACAAAATTATCATCTTGACTTTGTTTTGTGAAAAGTCAAGGCTAAACTTTTCATCATTTCAACTTTGGGAGTCAGGAGAACTACCACTTCCTTTTTAAAGAGAAGTTGTGAGAAATCCCTCAACCACACCCCTCTGCTGGCTCCGCCCCCCCACACCTACACACCTGGGTGCAATTAGGCAGCCCTTTTAAGTCCTGGAAGCCCATTGTTTCCCCTTTCCTTTCAATCCAGGCTATGGATCAGCATGCGTCATGTGAGTTTCAGTTGATTCCCATTTTAGTTTCATTGTTAATTTTTGTTAATATGCATTTTGTTTCTGCTTTGTTGCAGTGTGTAAAAACCATGTCTGATGCCATATTAAATCCTTAAACTGATCCTGTCTTGAGACCTTTTATTCACTTGGGCTTTTTTCACCGGCTATTTATTCGATTACAATTTTACATGGTCCTTTTAGCCGGATATGCCCAAGATGGATAAAGCCATACAGGTCTCAAGAAGTGCACCTTCTCTTCTGCTGCCCACTCATGATAGCCAAGATGGGGGAGGAATGGAGTATACAGGCAGCTTCCGTTCACTGCATGGAGCAACTGCAGCACAAGGCACCACCGTGAAGCCAGTCTCATATGACGTCCAGTCACAGCATGGGATTCACACAGTGGACACCGGAGGCGCAACTACTGCTCTACATGAACTAGGAGCTCGTCCTAAACAGAAATCCAGGATTCCGAACCCAAGCCTGAGGAGCAGTGGAAGGCAAAGGAGGATTCCGGCACATTTCAAAGACTATGAGGTCAGTCTGTTGCCAAAACAATATGACGCACATTCCCAGTCTGATATTGCGGAGTCACTGTCTGATGGAAGCACATTTTCTAAACGCAGTCGGAGACCAATGGATGCGTTAAAAGAATCCCTTGACCAATCAGAGCTGGCCCAGGTGGAGGAGCGGCTCAGACACATGGAGTTGGATGAACTCCATCGTCAGCAGCAAGAGGAAGAAAAGGCTGAGGAGTGTCTACGCCGCATGGATACACAGGCCAGAGAAGCTTCCATGGCCCGTGAGAATTTATCTAACAGTTTGACTCGAGCCAGACTCATGCGCCAGGCAGAGAGAGATTATGAGGAGGCAAGGATGGTGTCCCAGCTTCTGAAATATCCTAGTCCTATGCTTCGGTCCAGCACCAATCTACGACCAGAGAGCGCCATGTTAGCGTCGGGACTCAGTCTGCATGAAGCGCCTCAGCCTGTCCGTCTGCAGCCTCCTGCGCCTCAGCCTGTCCGTCTGCAGCCTCCTGCGCCTCAGCCTGCGCCTCAGCCTGCGCCTCAGCCTGCGCCTCAGCCTGCGCCTCAGCCTGCGCCTCAGCCTGCGCCTCAGCCTGCGCCTCAGCCTGAGGCGCCTCAGCCTGCGCCTCAGCCTGCGCCGCTCCAGCCGCCTGCGCCGCTCCAGCCGCCGGCTCCGCTCCAGCCGCCGGCTCCGCTCCAGCCGCCGGCTCCGCTCCAGCCGCCGGCTCCGCTCCAGCCGCCGGCTCCGCTCCAGCCGCCGGCTCCGCTCCAGCCGCCGGCTCCGCTCCAGCCGCCGGCTCCGCTCCAGCCGCCGGCTCCGCCGATACAAGTCCCTGTAAATGCTGGTTATTCCCCGAATATGACTGAACTGTTGATAGCAACGACCTACGGCATCCCAAAGCCGCAGCTCCCTCGATTTGACACCGGCAAGGAAAGTGACTTTTTGTTATTAAAGATGGCCTTTGACAGCTTACTCGGGAACCACCCTCATTTATCCGAGCAGTATAAGTACCAGATCCTACTTGAGAGACTCAAGCATCCACCTGCTTACCAACTGGCCAGAGCTCACATTCATCATCCTCAGCCATACACCTCAGCCATGCATGCATTGACTTCACGATACGGGCAGCCACGTCACTTGATACAGAGTGAGATAGCGCGCATTCTCAACTCTGCGTCTGTTAAAGCAAATGATGGGGCTGCGTTCGAAGAGTTTGCTCTGGCTGTACAGTCTCTGGTCGGACTACTTATCTCGATAGAAGGAAGGGATGGTACAGAAGTAAGCTGTGGATCGCATGTGGACAGGCTTCTGAGCAAATTACCATCTAATTATCGTGATTCCTTTGTTGAACATTGTATTCAGAGGGGTATCTTGTAGGATGGTGTTTTTCAGACTTATACGTTGAATGATTTGTCTGTGTGGTTGCAGGTTAAAGCTCGTGCTCGCCGCTTGTCTCACAACACAACTTTTGCTGCTGAGTGGGACAGGAGGGAGGTACGAAACAATCCCAAACCTCCACCACGGAAGTTTGATAGGCCAGCTACCATGTATTTGTCAACCGAGACAAAGGCGGCTCCGAGGCAGAATGTTTCCCTCAACCCTGTGGAGAAGCATCCAAAGAAGGCAAAATTCCAACCCTATTGTCCTTTCTGTAACACTCATGAACACTTTCTCAATGGTTGCCAGAAGTTTGCCAAGCTGACGGTGGAGGAGAGGCGCTCTTGGATCCGTGAAAACAGACGCTGTTGGAAGTGCTGTAGAACTCACCCTCCGGAGGCTTGTACACTGAAGAGGCCATGCGGAGTGTGCAGCCAGCTTCACTTGACAATTCTGCACGACACTTTGACTCCCGCCGGCCAGTCGTGTCTCATGGTGAGCATGCCCAATCCTGACCTTTATCTTGACCGTCCAAATTGTTCTGCACGTGTCATTCTCAAAGTGGTTCCTGTTGTTCTTCATAATGGTGACTTCCAATTTGAGTCTTATGCCATCTTGGATGACGGGTCAGAACGTTCCATTATTCTGCCTTCAGCTGTAGAAGCACTCTGTCTTTCAGGCCAGTCAGAAACCCTAAACCTTCAGACTGTGCGTCATGATGTTCTTCAAGTGCAGGGCACAAGAGTAAGCTTTTCCATTTCACCAATTGATGACAAGTCCACCACGTATAAAGTGAAGAATGCTTTCACCGCTGATGTTTTGAATTTGATGAAGCATTCTTGCCCTACTGCAGCATTGCAGAAGCGCTATGAACATTTGAGAGACTTGCCATTGCCAATTCTTGATGGGGTTCAGCCTACGGTCCTTCTTGGGTCTGATCACCATCATCTCATTGTCCCTATTGAACCTATTAATTTTGGTCCTTCAGGCAGTCCATCTGGTGTCCATACTGCACTTGGATGGGCTCTTCAAGGTCCTTCCTCAGTCAACCCTGCTTCAGTCCCAGACATGCAATGCCTTTTCACTGTTACCCCTTTCTCAGATGATGTGATGAGAAACGTGGTGAAGTTATGGCAGCTGGATACGTTCCCCCGGCACAACGAGAAGGAAGTGACCCGATCAAAACAAGATCAGTATGCTCTTGCACTTTTGGACTCTAGGACACAAAGACTGGAGGTAGATGGCCAGCTGCGGTATGTCACTCCTTTGCTACGCCACCCTCAGTTTCCCTCTCTTTGCTCAGACCCGGCTTCCTTCCTTCCGGTTCTTCTGAGGGCAGAACATAGGCTTAGGAAAGACCCTGTGTTGTCCAAAGTACACTCAAGAGAAATCGAGATGTTGCTTGAAGCAGGCTATGTAACCCAAGTAGATACTAAATCGGCTCTTGGCACAGAATCCTGGTTTCTCCCACATCATGTGGTGTCCCAGCACAATGGCAAACACAGACTGGTGTTTAACTGCTCTTATAGTCACCAGGGCCAAAACTTGAATGATTGCCTTTTACCTGGTCCAGTCCTCGGACCATCATTGCTTGGTGTGCTTCTTCGTTTCAGACAGCATCAAGTGGCCGTTATAGCAGACATCAAGGCAATGTTTCACCAGGTGCGTTTGCTCCCTGAAGACACCCCCCTACTCCGGTTTTTGTGGAGAGACCTGAAGCCGGATGAACCGACAGTCTATGAGTGGCAGGTCTTACCGTTCGGTACCACTTGTAGCCCATGTTGTGCGATCTATGCTCTCCAACGGCATGCCAAAGATCACCTTTACCCAGAGAACAACCTTCGGAAAGCAGTCGAACAGTCATTTTACGTCGATAACTGTCTACACAGCTTCCCTTCGGCAGATTCAGCACAAAGATTTGTTGAGGATCTGCGCTCTTTCCTTCTTACTGGCGGCTTTGAAATCCGACAATGGGCAAGCAATGACCCTTCTGTAGTAGAAAATCTTCCGAAATCCGCTCGTTCCTGTGACCTGTGGCTTTCTCACACAACCAATGACCCACAAGAACCAACGCTTGGTCTGCGATGGAACTGTCGTACTGATGTCTTCAGTTACAGATGCAAAGCTCTCTCTTTTGCCAATCCAAGTCCAACTCTGAGAGATGTTTATCGCATACTTGCCAGTCAGTATGACCCTTTGGGGTACATTCTTCCCTTTCTCACCCGGGCCAAGGTGTTTGTACAAGACTTGTGGAGCTCCCCAAGAGGATGGGACGATCCTATTGTAGACCCTGCTTTGGCCGATAGATGGAACTCTTGGTATGATGAACTTGCATTGCTCCCTCAAGTTGTCTTTCCTCGGTGCTTTGAGTTGACTAGTCTAGAGCTGTCAAGCATTAAAAGAGAGCTTCATGTCTTTTGTGACTCTTCTGAGCGGGCTTATGGGTCGGTAGCTTACCTTCGATCTGAAGATCTTGGCCAGGTGTCTGTCTCCTTTGTCATGGCCCGGTCCAGGATTGCCCCTCGGAAGCAACTCTCCATGCCCCGCCTGGAGCTCTGTGCAGCAGTGAGTGGTGCTCAACTCGCTACCTTGTTGCAGAAGGAAATACACCTTCCCATTCAGAGAGTTCAGCTTTGGAGTGACTCAACCACTGTGCTGCAATGGATACAATCTGATTCCTGTAGATACAAAGTCTTTGTCGGTACACGTATTGCTGAGATACAGGAGCTGACCGGCACTGAGGATTGGAGATATGTGGGGAGTACACTGAACCCCGCGGATGATTTGACACGAGGTAAAACTCTTTTGGAGATTATTCAGCCACAGCGGTGGGGTCTGGGGCCACCCTTCTTATTCCATGACCAGACCCACTGGCCACAATGCCCAGTCAAGGGGAAGGAAGAGGACCTCAACGAAGTCAAGACCAACCGGCTGCTCCTCCTGTCAACTCAAACTATGCCCCATGCCATAGACATTTCCACCTGCACTACGTGGACTGAGGCCATTGCAGCTGCGGTCCAGGTGTTGGACAGCACTTCAGTCTCCAATCCAGCCATCGAAGCAGAAATCCTTCTCCTGAAACGATTAAAGCAGGAAAGCTTTCCAGCCGAATTCACGGCTCTGCAATCTGGCAAATCTGTGTTACCGTCAAGTAGGCTGTGTTCCTTTTCCCCCGAATTCGATCCAGTTTTGAAACTCATCCGTGTTGGAGGGCGGCTGAGAAGGGCTACTAACCTGGACCCAGATGTCATACATCCTGTGGTTTTGGACTCAAACCACCACCTCACAAAACTTCTGATCCAGAAATACGATGAGGAGCTCTTACATCCAGGATCTGAGCGGCTCTTTGCCGAACTGCGGCGTAAATACTGGATAATCAAGGGTTGCTCGGCAGTCCGTCAACATCAACGACTGTGTCAGCAATGTCAGGGGTGGCGTGCCTCTCCCGAAATGCCGAAAATGGCGGACCTACCTCCTGCCCGACTCAGGCTTTTCCAACCGGCCTTCTGGTCTACCGGTATAGATTGCTTCGGCCCTTTTCTAACCAAAGTCGGAAGGAGAACGGAGAAATGTTGGGGTATTGTTTTCAAGTGTATGACAACCCGATGTGTCCACTTGGATGTCCTCGAAAGCCTGGATGCTGATGCCTTTCTTATGGCCCTACGTCGCTTTGTGGCGAGAAGGGGAAAACCTTATGAGGTCTTCGCGGACTTTGGCACCAACTTCCGTGGAGGGTATGCAGAGTTGAAGAGGGCATTCAAAGACATGGTCCCAGAGCTCCAAGAGAAACTGGAGAAACAGCAAATTATGTTTCATTTCAACCCTCCAAGTGCACCACACTTTGGCGGCCTATGGGAAAGGGAGATAAAATCAATTAAAGATGCTCTACGAGTTGTCTTGGCCAACCAATCAGTACCACAGCCCGTTCTGCGAACCGTTCTGATTGAGGTAGAGGGAATAGTCAACTCTAAGCCCCTAGGTTATGTGTCCACTGATGTCGCCGATCCAGACCCTGTGACTCCAAACTTATTGTTGATGGGGCGGCGGGATTCCTCCTTACCACAGGCGGTGTACGCCAGCAGTCAAGTTGTTGGTAAGCGGCGATGGCGTCACAGCCAGATTCTTGCAGACCACTTCTGGACTGGATTCGTTCGCTATCACCTTCCCGATCTACAGCCCAGACCAAAGTGGAAGGTGGACAAGGAGAATCTCCAATGCGATCAAGTGGTCCTGGTAGTCGACCCTCAACTACCTCAATCTTCCTGGCCTGTAGGAAAGGTGATAGAAACTTTCCCAAGCGCTGATGGCCGTGTACGGTCCGCCAAAGTCCAGGTCAAGCAGCAGACCTACCTGCGACCAGTTTCCCGCCTCATACCCCTCCCAGAAGTCAAGGACGAGGTTTGAGGGATTCTGGAACAAAACTGCCGTTTTGGGGGCGGCTGTGAGAAATCCCTCAACCACACCCCTCTGCTGGCTCCGCCCCCCCACACCTACACACCTGGGTGCAATTAGGCAGCCATTTTAAGTCCTGGAAGCCCATTGTTTCCCCTTTCATTTCAATCCAGGCTATGGATCAGCATGCGTCATGTGAGTTTCAGTTGATTCCCATTTTAGTTTCATTGTTAATTTTTGTTAATATGCATTTTGTTTCTGCTTTGTTGCAGTGTGTAAAAACCATGTCTGATGCCATATTAAATCCTTAAACTGATCCTGTCTTGAGACCTTTTATTCACTTGGGCTTTTTTCACCGGCTATTTATTCGATTACAATTTTACAGAAGTTTATATTCTTCTTCAGTTATTCAGAACTTTAACCCACAAGCGAGATTATACAGAGATCTTCAGCCTTTCCTGCTACTGTCTTATATCATGAAGATTTGAGTAAAAATGTCAATCCAATTTTGAGTATGTTGCAAATGAGTGCCACTGAATGAGACGACAGTTTACGCACACTTGCTTCATGGCTGTACATCAGGAGCAATCGCAGCTGGATCATTTCCCTGTGTGAGGGTGAAACAGGATGTCAACAGCGTCTCTATCCCCTGCTCACCTCAGCTCACCCTGCGCAGCATCTGCCTCTCCTACACACCATTTGGACTGGGACACCTTCTGTATGTGGCAGACACAACAAACAGGGAAACGTCTATCTATAATATACACACAGGTAAACAGAAATCAGTGGAATTTGCATAGTAGATGTATTCAGTATCTGCGCTACATAATCTGCCCTGTTATACTGTATGTATACTGTGTGTATTTAAATATTAGAATATTAGTAGGATTTTTTATGCCTGCCTTTATATCTGTTTTGTAATTTTTTGTAACTTGCTAGCACCATATACCAAAGAAATCCCTATATTGTCACTTCATGTTACTTACAATGCCAATAAAAGAGATTCTGATTCTGATTTGACACAATTTTAAAGTGTATGAAAAGTATTTCATGATTTTCTAATGTTGCCTCTATTTGGTTGAATAAAACATGTTTCAAATGTAAATGTCATAAATTAAGTTTGTGAAGAACAGATAAACATTTCAGAAAGGAAAACCTATAAGGACATCACAGTAGGGAGAATTTACACACAAACTCATGATATTCACATTCAAAATACTGATTCAATAAAATTATGATTCATGTTTGTGTTTTTTCCCAATGTACAACAAAAATCTTAAAAGTGTGATGTCATAATATTACCAGGAAGTAAAATTGAACAACAAAAGCTACGTACTGTATATGCTAAACTTGGAAATATATGTGTATGATATGTAGGAAAACCGGAAATGTAAGTTAACTGCCTTTTATGAATTCTACCGGTCATATATGCACTTTAAAAACATATATTTTCAAAAAGCCTGGAAGCCAATATATATACTATACCCTTTGCCAATACCTATATACTATACCCTTTACATTGTTTAACCCCCCCCCACCCTCTCTCTCTCTCTTTCTCTTTAAATGATGCATTTCTCTACAGGTCACATTAGCGTTGCGAGATTACAAACGTGTGATTTAGGGACGGTAACTATAACGGCACGTTTTAAATTGCGCAACATGATTAGACGAAAATAAAAGCCTCCGTCATTGCTCTTAAGTGCTGCTAATTACCCCGCCGTACATCGCTCTACCTTTATATGCAAATCCTGACGACTTTAGTGGATCTTTTATCAAACAGCAGAGGTTGCTATGTTGTAAATATGTCAACACGGCATCTTTTTTTGTTTTTTTGTTTTCTATGTGCAGCCAATTATCCGCAAGAATAAAAACCTGCACTCTCGCCCACGCGTCGTGCTTTTAAATCGGCGGTGGAGTTGGCGACCGGGTAAGAAAATGTTACGGCTCGCGACTATAATCAACCTTTCTGTGAGATGGAGGGTCGTCAGGGGGATTTGAGGACGCATCCATCTCCCTGTCCGTCCTGTTGGGTCGTGGGGGAGGCTGCGTCACATCAGCCTTTCAGGGAGACGCCGGGGCTAATGGTCTAAATATTAATAATGCCTCGCTGCTGTGTCCATGTTTGAAAATAATAAAAGGAGAGTGGAGGAAAGGGAGGCAGCTTCTAATTAAAGATAATGGGTAATAGAAAAACATGTAGCTCGCCAAAACTGACTGCACAGAAATCTTTGTAATTGCTTGAGTGTAGTTTAGTGTATTTGAATGTAGATTCAGATTCATTTTATTTGCCATTTGCAGTGAAACCACATTGGAATACGTGTGTAAAAGTCCCAGTGTGTATTTAATCTAAAACCAGATTTGCTAATGGAAGAAGAGAGGTTAGTGTTACGTTAACTGGAGAATTTTTTGTTCCTTCTAAGTGAAAAATTGCTTTTTTGTTTTAATGTAAAACAATGCATGCACTATTTTAAGATTAGAATTTACATTAATGGGTTCAAATTTTGTAGATTTAAAAATACATTGGATTCAGACTATTTGACTGGTTGTTCAAAAAAATTCAATGTTGGAATCTTGGTTTCAGTATTTGCACAATTAAAATAAAAAATGCAAATGTAGTCCATTATTTGACTTCTGAATGTCTGTCAATATGTCTCAAATTCTAAAACATTTCCTTTTCTACCCACCTTTTCAAAATGAGAACGGTCGACGTGGTGACTGACTAATTTACACTTAGTCTTATCAAAGGCAAGCACACTGCATTGCAATAATAATTGATCAACTCTCAACAAAAGAGATGTATTTGCTGAACTCTTCCTTAATAATAACCCATGTATTAAATCAAAGTTGATGAAACTATATAAAAACATCTGTATTAATTCCTGCTATATTTCTCCTTATCTAATATTACTACTTTTAATTATTGTGACTGGAACGTGACATAAATTCAGATCCACGCCATGCTTTTGTGTGAGGAGGCTTTGATTCATTTGGGAAACAGTTACAAACACTCCTAAACTGGATAATGGGTTTTTCCATTTGTGAGCCACGTCTTATGCTAATGTGAGCTGTCGTTCCAGAGTGTTCAGTGCGGCTGACAGTCGGTGCAGTGGGTGTGCAGCTCTGTGATGTGGACAACTCCAATTACAGTCTACTTTTGACCCACAATGTGAAAGAGCATGTATTGTTATATTGTAATACTGAATATACCATAAACCGTGTACAATATGTAGAGATTCTTGGCACATCATTCTCACAGTAATGTAGGAATGAATAGAAGAAAGATCCTGCACTCTGTCCTATACTCGCACAGTAACATTTCAGCAACTATAGGCCTGAAGGCAGGACATTTGCATGAAAAATGTAGGTCTGTGTAGGTACTTCTGCCTTTATTTTCTCAAAGCTATGGACACTTGTATGAGAACCTTCACTGAATTTTTATTGTATCCATTACAATTGTAATTATGATAACAATAACAACACATCATACTTAGGAATTTTTAGACACTCAAAGACACTTTACAGAAGAAAAAATGTTGTATTAAGATGTTTTGGGCGGCTGACTGGATAGCATTCTCGCCTCTCAGCAAGAAGGTCCTGGGTTTGAATCCCGGTCGGACCAGGGCCTTTCTGAGTGGAGTTTGCATGTTCTCCCCGTGTCTGCTCCGGTTTCCTCTGAGTGCTCCGGTTTCCCCTACCACTAAAAGCATGTACAATAGGTCTGGCATGCACCTCTTGTACTGGCGACCCCGCTCCCTTCTCTGTGTGGAGTGAGAGACAAATGCCCAAAAATAACAATTGTTAACTGCTTTGTGACTCTGGTCTGTGAAAGGCGGTATATAAATAGATTACTTACTTACTTTATTCATGCCTTTATATTTTAATCATATTATTATCCTGCACCATGTAAAGTAAATTGGTAGTTTGTAACTTTTTACTGACAAAGACAATAAAAAAATTCAGATTCTGATTATAGGCAAAAAACAAAACACATCATTTTTACATAAATTGGGGAAATTGACCCAAGAACAAATTAATTCAACCAGAAACAATCTGTGTGCGGTGCATTATCTTCACAAAGTCTTTATTCAAATGTGTGTTTATTCACTTATGGCCGTGTTTATTCTCCTCTGTTTGGCTTCGCGCTGTGTACAAACCCCTTTGTTTCACTGTGAGTAGGTTGTTGACGCTGACTCAATCTTGTTTTTGGATACCATTGATAATTCCTCCATTTGCTAACTGGAAAATAGCTAATTAAAACCCACTTCAACTAAACAGCCTGCCTGGGACAGCGCTAATGTGGCTACGCTAATGCCCCACGTGCTGTTTCCACTCCCTTACTCCATAATCGGAGATGCTTTCCTCTCTCTATGTCGCACATAATGGAGCGGTGTAAGCCACAGTGAGGATACTGTAACTGCCAGGCTATTGTCACCATATTTTACAACGCTACTGGCTGCTATTTGTGAGGCGCTTTGCTCTTCCATGTTTAGTGTTTTGGATATAAATTGGCTTTCATTGTAGGTGGAGGATGGAGTGTGAGTGTAGGAAGCAACACACAATTAGGACGCTAATAAAGGCTAATTAAGCTGCGTTTTGATTATAGTGAAGCCAGCCAGCCTTGAAATGTAGAGCAAAACATGAGAGAGGCGAAAATAAAACTTGTGATTTTTTCCATAATACATTGATAGAATGAGGCCTAAAAACCCTGAACATTTCATTCATATGAATTTCTTACTTTTTGTCAGTTTTTTGTAGTACGATTGCCGGTGTCGCATATGCAGACATGCTATTATGAGCACATGAAATATACTCACAAACACACAAAAGAGAATGTGCCAAATTTTGGAGAATTTTCAATAGTTTTTCACACTAACCCGGTGACAATGGAATGAGCTGGCGTTCATTGTGCCCACTTGGCATCTCTGTCGCATCCGCTTTTGTACTCATAGTGTCTGTAAATAATTTAAATGCATCCAGAAACTCATACTCAGAATAGGATTTATGAGCAACTGTTCGGACGGACTTTGTACATTTGTAGTATTCTGAACACTTAGCTTAAGTGAAAGAAACACTCGATAATGTCCCACCTCGTCAATTCACCAACAACAGATCAGGAAATCAAAAACTTTGACCACTGGAAATGCAGCACACGGAGGAAACACACAGTCATTGGTCCATAGGCCCACCTCTCTAAACCCTGCTTAAGCCCAGTTGCCGTGGTCACACGGAACTTAAATCTCAGATCTAATGGCAATCTGGCCCTAGGTCCACTTTAACCGGGCTTTAGGTCGTGGGTGTGACCGCAGCCTTATAAACCTTTGTGTTCTCTGGTGACAGGATGAAGCAGTCGAGCCACTTTCTTTGGTTTGAGTTGAGTTATTTTAGATCGCTGCATGGGCTTATGTAACACTGAACAACAGCAGAATCAGATGGCTACAGATACATATATAAACATCACTAAGGATTATTTTACAGAGCAGTTTTTAAACAGTAAATATCTCATACAGGACACATACATGTGTTGTCTCATCTCCCAAGCTTTAACAGATAAATAAGCAGCATAAATCCAATACATTATTTCATCCTTTGGCCACATTTGTGTGATATTTCAACCGAAACGTGAAATATCACTTTTCTGGCGTCAACAGCTCATTTTACATCTGCATTGAGACAGTTTACTGCAGCTCAAGTATGTGCCTGTTGTTCATTAAAGCCTCCACACAAAGGTAAGTGCTCAGAGAATAGATAATGTGTTTGTAAAGTTGGCTTTTGTTTTCTGGCATTTCCCTGTTATGGAGTATCGTCCCCCAGAGGCCGAGGGAGGAAGTGCAGGAGCCTTTTGTTAATTAAAGCTGTCAATCAAACAGCGCGCTTTATTTCTCTCTTGTTTCCCTCAGTGGATGTTTGGTGTCATCATGATCAAAGCCTCCATCAAACGCTTTTTGCCCGTTCCTCCAAGTAAACAGCAGAATATTTTATTTTCATAAAGTCTAATGAAAACTTTGGAGATGTTCAGAGTTTGGATTTCATCTTTTATTCATTTGATTCTTGTGCCTTGAGAAACGATAATCAAGGTAGTTTCAATGTTCAAAAGACTATACAATAGAGGCTATTTCACTTCAGAGGATTCGCTTCACACAATCTTGTCTTTGTAAAGATTTACGTTAAAACAGGAGGATCATAACGGATATTTTTATTCAGATAATACAAAATGTCTTCCTCTCGTCACTATCAGGCTCTAATGTACTGGTTAGGGTTAGAGGTCAAGGTTAGGGCTCCAGTTCACTATGTTTAGGGTTAGAACTAGTGGTAGGGTTAAGGTTAGGGTTGGGGCAGTGGCGGCTGGTGGAATTTTCTACTGGGGGGGCTATGAATATGATGACTAGATATAAATGCACCACAGAATTTGACACAGTCTATTATTTTTGATAGGATGTGCCTATTCTTGTCAACCTCCTCATTGTGCTTTCTGATCCCTACCCTGTAGCTTTCATCCAGCTGGGATGAAATATTTATCTTCCCAAACATAGCTAATTTGAGGGCATTTTGCATGTGGATACCAGTCTGCTCATGCTTCTTTGCCTTTTCTAAAAAGTGCTTCAGATCAGTCATACCTGTCTTGATCCATGCTGGGTCAGATCCTGATGTTTGAAACAAGAGGCATGGAAAGCAAAATAAAGCATTAGCCTCGCTACATGCTGCTAGCCAAGATTTGGCGCTGAACCAGGTCCTGGAAAAAGTACGAGTGTACCGTCCCCCCCTGTCGCTGGATTGCTGACTAATGGTAATATTTGGCTGATCAGGTCCAAGCTCTTTAACCTCAACCTTCTCCTGGTATGATCTTCTCTCAAACGATATTGTTTTGAGTGATCTAACTGAATTATTCTTTTTCTCGTTCTCCATTTTGCGTCTCTTTACGTTCGTCTCAAACTCCCACAGCTTGACCTGTCAATCACTGTAAACGGACGTCACAGACAGTGACAGTACAGGTCGCGGGCGATCCCGCCCCCTCAGGGCGCACTTCTCCTGCGACCCCAAATCGTCTTATCTCTTGCATTGAAGAGGAGCTACTGCGCATGTACAACTTTTAACGAGAGTCCATAGACGGCTCAGGGCGCAATCTTTTGCGCCCTGAGGCGGAAATACGTCCTCAGTCCGACACAGACAACGCTGATGAGCTTAATCAATCCAACTCAGCATAAACTATAAAGTATTTCTTCCACATCTGAAATAAAACACACATAAATTTCGAAATATTTTAATGTTATTATTTTTTTTAACGTTTTATTCAAGGTAACATGGCAAGTTGTGAGTGGTGGGGCGGCGCCCTAGCGCCCTCTATTGGCCGGCCGCCACTGGGTTGGGGTTACCTATGGTTAGGATTAGGACTCTGATTAGGACTCGGATTGAGGTTAGGATTAGGGTTAGGTTAAGATTATGGTAAATGTTAGGGCTATGTGTCCAGGATTAACTTGAAACAACGACCGTGGATTGATATCAGATGGTTCTTTATCTGGATGGATACTACAGGCACTCCTATAATACTGCCCGGCCCAAAAAGCACTTTTCCCAAAGGAACGCCACAATTTTTCGATCCATCTACTTCCCCTTAATCCATTTCTGGGTCAGGGCAGTCAGAGCTGCACCCAGTTCACGGAGCACCAGCCCCTCACACTGGAGAATGGCTGCTCTGTCAAACAGAGCATAGCCTTGATCTTTCAGCGGGGGCTTCAGGAAAAGTGAGCTAAGTGTCTTGCCCAAGGACACAACGACAGCAGACATCCGTGTGATTTTCTAAAAAAATAAATAAAAGTCAATCAATCTAGATGCTTCTTTCAGAACAATAAACCGGAAAAATCTACAAAACAAAATAACCAACCATTTTCATGGAGGTGGCCATGTTTTGTTTTGTTTGTGGTGATGATTTTGGTTTTCATCTATGACATGAGGTATTTTTGCTGAATTTGGACAACGTTTATTCCTATCCTTAATTGACATAGCCTGGCCTTAGCCATCCGTACACTCCGCTCAATCATCATTTCACTGCATGTAAGGTCTAGTTCTGGTCCCTGTGTTAGCGATTGCAATCGCTTGAATTTCGACCGACCAATCAGCGAGCGCGGAAG